GGATTCTCTTGTAATACGTGTCCAGTCAATTTTGAAATGATAATTTTTTTTTGTCAAAGTTACAATACTAGGCCGCCTAATAGTGCCAATGAATCTATGGTATAAACGTCTAAACTACTATAGTAGTCACTAGTGTAATAGTGCAATAAACGTCTAAACTACTATAGTAGTCACTAGTGTAATAGTGCAGAGAGTGGGGGATAGCTCAAGTGATTAAAGCTTTCCTCCCGATTTCAGGAGATTCTGGGATCGATTCTCACCCCCGTCTTTGTGACTCTCTAAACATTAAAAAAAAAAAAACTAGTGTAATAGTGCATGTTATGTACCGACTTTGTGTGTTCTTTTGTATTGGTTTAAATTCTCAAGGTATACATATAGGTCATTTTTTTTTAAGCAAAAGAGGGTAAAAATCCAAACATAAATAAAATTACACAATCATACATGGTAAGGCCACTCCCACAATATCCTCCCAAAGAAGGTTCTGTATTTCGATTGGAGGATCATCGAAGTAAATCACCTTCTCTTGGAGAATAACATCCATATTCTCAAACTATATAGGTCATTGATTTGGCAATACCATTTAAATCAAATGAGAGAAAAGCAATTATGAGTTTAAGGCTTGTTCAAATTGACTGAACGAACTAAAATGAACTGAGCTGAACTTATTGGATCTGAACTGAACTGAATATATTATGAGAGAAGAAAATTTAAGAACAGGCCTTAATAAGTTCACTTCGATTTAGTTCAGTTCAATTCAGCTCCAATAAGTTCAATTCAATTCAATTCAGTTCAACTCTAATAAGTTCAGTTCAGTTCAATTCAGCTCCAATAAGTTCAATTCAATTCAATTCAATTCAGCTCTAATAAGTTCAGTTCAATTCAATTCAGTTTTTAATTTTCTTCTCTCATAAAATATTCAGTTCAGTTCAGTTTATTTCATTTCAACTCCTATAAATTCAGTTCAGTTCAGCTCAATTCGGTCAATCACAACAAGCCCTTTCCCCGACAACCCCCCCCCCCCCACCACGCACACAACCCAAAAACAAAAAATTTGTTGACAAAATATCAATAACTTATTTTCAATGAATTGTTTTGACATACTTCCTCCGTTCTTTTTTACTTGACCCGCTTTGACTTTTTACACTATTCACCACCTCTCCTTTGACTGTCTTTTGTGAATAATATGTAAGTAAAAATATATTCATATTATATCTTTTTTAATTCGTCTCAATAAGTACTATCGTAATATACAACTTTTATATTTTTTTACTTATGAAGAATTAAAGTTATTGATCGCTAAAGTTTTGCATTGTCAAACGTGATAAAAGAAACAGGTCAAGTAAAAAAGAACAGAGGAAGTATGTAAGAAATATTAATTTAAAAAAAAAAAATGAAACACACATAGACTAAATAATATCATCAACTTGAATTTTGTTAGATTTATCTCATCTAATACTTTTCAAATACATTCCCGCCAATTCCCTTGCATAGAATAAAAAATATAGTCAAAATTAAATCAAATAAATTCATCACACCGGATTAGACTAGATTAGAAAATTTTAGATTAGACTAGACCACATCCTATTTAATCAGGCCTGATTACCTTATTATATATATGTGAACAAGTTTTAGGTCAAGTCAGAATCTTGATCTAGTCCGTATAATTTTATTAAAAATTTACAAAATTGGGAATGATATTCATTCTAGTAAGGGCTTCACGAAAGTGACATTGGTGATTTGGTGCATATAAATATTAGTGAGGCTAAGAAATAAAAGTCTATAACATTAATATTATTATGTTTACTATAATGTACTTACATTTATTTATTATTAAAGTGAAAAGTTAGCTGAATCACTAATCCATTTGGATTTATAGAATCATACCCAGCTGTTAGAAAGCTCTCTAATAACAGCTATAAATATACTATACTAACCGATACTCTCTCCTCTATCTCCTCCTTTCTCTCTGCAAAACCCTAGCCTCCACTGTTGAATTTTAAAGGGGCTTCCATCGATTTTAATCGGTGGAAAGCCCCAATCCTTGTTTCTTTATTGTTTTTTTTAGGTTTATAATAATGCTTCCTCCTTTTGGGAGGAACTTTTCTCCCTCGAAAGAAAGGGTTTCCGATCTCCTTCGAAAGACAAGGGTTTTTTCGACCTCCTTCGAAAGACAAGGTTTATCTCCTCTCTTCAAGGGAGAAATTTCTTAGTTTTGAATCCATGGTAGCAGATCTAATGGATTGTCGTGAAATTATTTTGTTGGTGAAAAAGTTATCAAGTTTTCGAATACGAACAGATGAATTAGAAGGAAAACATCCTCATAGCTACAAAGGATCGTTAGATTATCTCTCCAACAAGGCTGTAATTTTCAGCGATATAAGCGGGAGATGCTCCGCAGTGCAAGATCTACTCGACGATCGTAGTTTTTATGAAGGAAAATTCTATTTGATTCAATATCTTATGTATTTGTTAACGTCGAATCTCTATTGTAAATGTCGTATGACTTTTAATTAATGAAATATTTTTGCTATTCAAAAATATATATATATATATATATATATATACAATACTAAACAGTATTGGTTTTCTTTGATAACAATCAAACATTGCATATCTTACCAGTTTCATCAATATAAACGGTCACTGATTAATTACACTTAAATTAATCTTAATTCCCAATCATAGTAACAAAGTAAAAAAATAAAAAATAACATCTTTCAACAGATCTTTGACAGATTTCTTACTCAGTGGGTATATTCTTAGGGAGATTATAAAGGAATACTAAGCATTATACTTCGTAATAATATCTCTGTTTCACAATGATGTTCTCATTTGAAATCTTTTGACTATTAAAAATGAGAGGAAATCTTCTAATTTCTCTCAATCCTTAAAAATAAATATAGTTATATGGGGTCATTATTATTATTATTAATTTTTTTTTTTTTTTTTTTGAAACTTAGTTATATGGGTCTAATTTGATGTGTCTTGGTGAATAAATTATTAATACGAGTATATAACTTTCATAATCTTTGCTTGTGTGAGATCAAATCAAAGATTTACATAAATTTACATAAGCGAAAACATCATTATGAAATGAAGGGAGTACCAATTAACATGAGTATTTGTCATAATTTTCAAACTAATACGAAGTACATTTTAGGGAATGTATTTCATGTTATATAATTATATGCAGCTTTAGGTCAGCACCTTTTTCTATACATTCAAGTGTATATAAAAACATTTTAGCCCTAAGTATATCATTAATATAATGATTTTCATATGGATGGTTGTTTATTGCTATTGGAATCATATTTTATGTCAATTGAATCAACCAAGTAGAGATTGTTATTGCTAGTTGCTACAAGTCAATATAAGGTGTTATGGCTAGTTGGATATTTGTGATTTGCATATTCTCACTTGAGATGTATCAGGATTGAAAACTATGTAAGTAATGAACATTAACTTGGCCCATTTACTTAAATATGTATATTTTGGGCTTAGGTCTCTTAATTACCTGGATATGAACTTGTGTATGAGACAATTTTAGCAATAATGTCAAACAATGAAATCACCATATGTGTTATATTGCTTTATATGTCTAATTTGGTCACATAAAATTGATTACTTTCATTAAGATTTAAGAATCAGTCATACTGTTTGTAAAAAAAAAAAAAAAAAAATTTCTAACCTATGCCCCTAAGGTTATTGAGTTTCTAAGGTGTGTTCATGCTTTTTTAAAATTACAAGGTGTACCCTCCAACTTAAGGTTTTTATTCAACTGTACCCTATAACGATAATAGTTGTGTTAACGGTTTATTACAACACTTTGGAGAGAAATTTCACACCAAAATTGGGTTAGAGTTATATAAGTAAGTTAAAATTTAGCATTTTTTTTCCAAATTTTCTCATGTGCTTATTCTTCTTTCTTCTAAAAGAAACCATTGATATGTCAAGCTCTCGGTGTATTTTTATTCTTTTTTCTCATCCGCTTCTTATTACTTCCTATTTATGTACAATTACTGAAGTCGTGTTTACGTCAGAGGGTACGTTTGATTAAATAACTTAAATTGAGGGGACAACTTGTAATTTTGAAAAAGTATGGGCACACTTTAGAAACTCAACAACCTTAATGGCATAGCTTACAAAAACCCAAAAAAAAAAGAATCAGTTATAATGCTTTGGTCGTGAATTTATTCAATAACATTTGTATTATTATTATTCAGAAACAATATTTTGCACATCTGGTTCTATGGTGTAGTGCTTAGCACTCTGGACTTTGAATCCAGCGACCTGGGTTCGACTCCCGGTAGGACCTTTTTTTTTTTGTTTTTGTGTTATTATCCTCTGTTTTTATATTTCTATTTTGTTTATTAGGTTAAAGAAAAAAAAATTAGAAAGTTTGTTCATTAGTTTGTCTGACTTTTTTTTTTTAATTTTTTTTTTCTTATAGCACGAAGTAAATCTTTTTTGGGGGACATGACCTCTGTGAACCATTTCATTTTTTACCTCGTTAAGACAAAATCATTTTGGTTTAGAGATAACTCATTTGGCTCGCACCAATTCTAATAGTTCAAACTCTTGCTCAATCCCGGCTTATCGAGCCTGAAATTTCCGTGTTGCTAACTTACAATACTCCTTTGTTCACTTGTCCTGTTATATAATCTCGAAGAATTTTATAACATATTATGCGATTAGAGATATTATTTGTGTTAAAATAAGTTTATCTGATAACTAAATTTGAGTTTAGACATAACTCACAAGAGTCACAACCATATTAGGCCAAGTTTGAGTAGATCACAAGCTATCTGGGTCGAGACTGAGCAGCTAAAATCAAACTGCTCCACCCCTAGGAATGGTGTCCATTGCAAAACCAGTAGTCCATTATCGAGCTCTAACCAAAAACACCCAAACATTCAACTTCTCAAGAAGCAAGGTTAGTCTCGACTGAAGCAAAACAAAATAAGAGGAAAACCCCGCACATATCAACTGCAAATGGCATAAGAATTAAGTTATATATTCTCCATTAGGTGAAGGCAAAAAGATGGCAGCAGCCAAGGATTTCCTTTGTTCAATTTACAGAAGAATTCAATTCCTTTAAAACATTGTTCATTGCGTAAAACATAAATGCTAGACGATATTACGCATGTGCAAAAAGACTTTCATAGATAAATCATTGTGGCGTAAGTTCGTGTTTTCTTGAATAAAATGTATAGGCAATGCACAGTTGCAACAGTAAAACCCAGACAGGGAAGTTTAATTTAAAGGAGCCATAAAAGTGAGAGGGCAATCATCAACTAGCAATTTATCGAGATTTCTCGCCTATTCTACTGCATAGATTGAAAGCGCTTCATAATTATCATGCTCATCTCAACATATCGTTGAGCACAATTCTGAAGGCAGGCTGCTTCACTGTTACTGAACTTGCTTCCAGGTGCACTGGTAATGCATTTATCCCAGCAGGCACTTGTCATTTTCGATACCATCTCATTGACCATGGCTCTCTGCTTCTCTTGCTGCAAATTATTCAAAACAAAAAATCAGCATTGCAAAATCATACAGTAAGTAACTTATTAAAGAAAGTGTATTCCAGAGTATGCAATGGTTTTTCAGTAAATACCAAGGGCTTGCAAATACTGAACTTTCTATAGACTTTAATGCACAGATAAAGGTTGAACCATTGAACAAAAAGCAAACAAAGCATGTACATAAGCCCATTCTGGGAAATGCTAACAAACAAATGTATGATAGGCATAATAAGCTAAGTGTGAACTTCCAGTATTTCAGCAATGGGAGCGCTACTGCTAATACTAAAAATTCTTCTGATCGATTGTAGTCATACAGAATAGGATTTGATTCAGAGGGGAAAAAGCAGCAGCATAAACAAATTTTAGCCTTTAGAGGGTAAAGCAGGTTATCTACTATTTTCGCCCACACTTCTGCAAGGTTATGGGCACCTGGTCTACCTTCAGAAAACTAGAAAGAGATTTCTTCAAGTTAACTAAATTCATGAATGGATAGCTCAAAAAAAAAAATGATTCTCTTAGATTTAAAAATCAACCAGATTTTCACCCAAAAAAAAAAAAAAAATCCAACCAGATTAATTAGCATGACTCAATAGCAAGCACTTCAGCTGTGATGAAACCTCATATTCAGCTTGTGTATAAGGCAGTGAGATGCATACTCTTACACATGTCAAAACTTTCATCAATGCCCTTCCTTTAAGAAACTTTCAGATGACCACAAGAAACTTAATGAAGGTCTCAGAACATAAATCATCAATAGCCAGTTAGCCACACAATTACTCTGTTTCTCATGAAGGAAATGGAATGCACATATTGCACACAGGATCAAAATTCAATAAATCATATGACCATCAAGAATGACGGGCTTCTTAAAATTTCAACCAACAAAACTAAATTTAAAAATAACATCAATCACAACTACACAATAATTAATTTAGCCAGCTCTTAAAAAAGTCCACAAAATTTTACATCGTTTTATGTCCAATATACCAACACCCAGACCCATGGAGTCAAACTTCACATAAACCATATAAACATGATTTAGTAACAAAGAACACATCCTTGATTTATTTTTTCTCCTATCCTTTCAAGGATTACCTTCCAATAGAAAACACCACTTACACCCCACACCCCTTAAAAACTCACCAATACAAAGCAAAGGCTACATAAAGTATCATAGAGACACTTGCATTACGACAGGACAATACATATCACGTTAAAGATTAATTAGAATTGCTCTGAAGAGTTTATCATGTTAATACCTCAGCGGCTCAAGAAATGGGGATAAGAAGGAGAGTGCTCCAAAAATGACCGACAATGGTGGATTATGTAAACTATTAAAACTATTAGGGGCCATTAGGTTGGGGGTAATCAAGAAAGGGAATGGGAATCAACTGGCTCGATTCCCTTTGTTGATGTTTGTTTTACACTTTTAATCATTCCCTTTACCCTCTTCATTACCCAAATCCTTCCAACTCCATTCCCCACCCCCCAAACTTTCCCATTCCCTTTCCCTAACCACCTTCACACCTACCAACACCACCGGAAAACCAGCCCAAACCACCGCCGCCCCTACCTTTACCACTGGCGAGCCTCCCTCGACCACCCCTGCACCTCCCCCGACCACCGCTGCACCCCCCTCCCCCGCAAAAACAAGCCCTAGCCCCGATCTCCCTCTCCCCGGAAACTGTCGCCTGGCCCTCCCACCACCCTCGAATCCCTAGCTCAGGCGACGGTTTCGGGGGAGAGGGAGATCGAGGCTAGGGCTGGTTTTTTCGAGGGAGGGGAGATCGGGGCTGGCGCGGCGAGGGGAGGAGGAGGTGCGGCGAAGGGCGGCGAGGGGAGGAGGAGGTGCGGCGAGGGGAGGAGGTGCGGCGAAGGGCGGCGAGTGGTGGAGGAGGAGCGGCGGTGGCTAGAAATGGTGGGAAGTGAAAAATTGATGAAATGTTTGGTGGTGGTGGTGTGGTGGGGGAATGATTCCCTTTGTTTTAAAAACAAACAACAAAGCAAAAATAGGGTATTTTCATTCCATTCTTCTCCTTTCCTTTTGCTCATTCCATTCTGATTCTCTCGTGCGAACCAAACGGCCCCTTAATCTTATGCATTGAGCTGAGAAGACTTAAAAACTAAAAATAGGTAGCTTCATTATACTTTTAAGTTCCAAAACCAACATCAAACTCACTTTTAAGCAACACTAGTAAATTAGTTTATACTTTGTATTATTCATTCCTTCAAAATATAGTACCATCACATCATAACTTGTCAATGCCTAAGATAATCAAAACACCAACCAGCCCTAAAGACCAATGAAACTAACACAAGCAAAGAGATTAAGAGAGAGAGAGAGAGAAATCACTTCAACTATTCAAAAAGCAAGAACGCAATAGAAACATATTTGGTTCTTAGCATGGGTATCTGCATCGAAGGGAAGTGAAAATTTTGGATCAGACCTCAATGGTAGTGAAAAGGGGAGAAATTTACAACAGAATTTTTTAAGATATTGCTGTAAAAACAGGATATATTTTGGCAAATTGTAATAGAAATCAGAAGGTGTTTGAAAGAATTTTATGTAACTTCATAATAGTGAAAAGAACACACCCTTAAGTGGAGATATATAGAGAAAATTGGAACTCAAAGAAAGAAGAGGAGAGTTACAGACAAAAACAAAGTACGAGGAATATCATTGCCACAAATTAGCAGTTAAATACTCCATAATCAATCAATCAAAGCTAATTACTCCATATAAGCATATAATATTCTTTCCACTCTTCAATACAGAGTAATATACACCACTCTTCCAAACCAAAAGCATCTTTAAGTTACCTCTTAATTACATCAGTCTACTAGACGAATTATTTGTAGATATAGAACCTTACTCTAACATAGTAGCACATATGAAGAAACAATTATTCATTTAAATACCAAAAAAGATGCTTCAAACGATCCTCATCCTCCATCTTATTGGTACAATAATAAGCACATAACAATATACACAATATATGGGTTGTTCCACCACATTCTGGCGACTGAACAAGTTTTCAGAACATATCGTATTGGCATTATATTTTTGGTCATATTGATCAATTTCACACACAAAAATTGACGAATATAGGTATGCAATTCAACCAGTCCAAAAAACAAAATACTAAAATACATTTAGTTGACAGTTATTGAGATTTTCTCAGTACAATTCGCGCACTTCTATGAAGACTATAATATCAATCCGTAACACTTATTTCCTAACTTCATCAATAATTAGTATAGTCTATAATTCTATTACATAAAAATAAAAAAAAATAAAAAAATCAAACAATTACTGTATCATCAGTTCAATCACTCAATAATGGCCGAACAATATCAAAAAGCCCCAAGAATTCGGAGAATATTCTTATGTTTTCAATTTCATCTCAATCAAAGTTTCAAATCATCGAAGAGTTTAACAAAATCTAACAAAAACAAAATATAATGTAACTAAATAATGCTTACACCAAAAAAAATTCAAAATTTGAAGTATACGTAGACGAACCTCGAGAAGATTCTGCAATTCAGGGGAGTTGAAAGACATGGTAGCCGATTAAAGTTGATGTTGAGGTTCTTCTCTCTCTAAAACCTTTGCAAGTTTTCTAAAACCCTAAAACAGATGGCAAATGAATGTTGAAACAAATTGGCAAAATTTCTTGGTTTGGCCGAAGTCGCCGAACGTCAGTAAGGGTTACTGGGCTTTTTAGTCTGGAGGGTCTTTCACCTTAAATTATTAGCTGGACTCGGGGTCTAGCCAGAAAACTAGCTCGTCCAAGCAATAGCCATTAGTTGGTCTTGAGATCGGCTATATAATACTCCCTTCGTTTTTATTTAAGTGTCCTAATTTGACTTTGACACTATTTATATGTATCGTTTTGACCAAGGTTTGTGCTTTATGCGTAAAATAAAATAGAATTGATGATTACTTGTTAAAATCGTCTCAAACCATATATCAAAATATTACAGATATTATTAGTCAAAATTGTGTATTGGAAAATTGGGGCACTTAAATTAAATCACTAAACATAATACAGTATATTTCTCTTCCGGTAAACAAAAAAAAAATGAGTATATTTCTTTTCTCCACTTAAAAACTCGATTATCAATCTTAAAATAAAAAAAAAAAAAAAAAAAAAAAAAAACTTAGGCGTCGTTTGGTTAGTCGTTTGGAATGAGTTGGAATGAAGTTAGAATCCATTCCATCTTATTTTTTGTTGGGTTGAGATTTTTAGTAATGGAATCTCATACTCGAGGGGTTCTAAATCCTCCCATACCCATGAAAACATATACCCACCTCTCCTCTTAAGATTCACATTCTATTCTATTAATGAAGGATAGAATCCATTTTAACAATAAAACCAAACAACGATGGACTAGTATGGGTATTAGAATCCATGCCTCTCTAGTATGAGATTTCATACCAATCCAATTCAATTTGATGAACAAAACACCCCATTGAAGATATCTAAAATTATGCCACTCTCTCCGCTTCGCATTAATCGCAACGGTAGGGTGTAACACCCTAGAAATTCCTTCCTTTTAAAATACTTGTTTTGCCTTGTTTAAAACTTTAAATAGGAATATCTTAGACATTACCGCCACCGTGATAACGGTTAAGGCAACTATCAAAGACACACAACGAAAGACTAATTTCAAAACATTTCAAACTAAGTCAACATTGAAAATCAAACAACGAAAGTAAAGTCAAACAAAGTAAAATAAAATCAACCTACAACTTGGAACCATTGTAGGCCCTTATTAATCAAAACCGAAATCCAAAACCCTTTTCGTTAGTCACATGAAATAAATAAAGTCATAAATAATTAAAGCAATAACACATTCATATACTTATGGAAACTAGTATGATTCGATCTTCACTCATGCCCATTCATGAAAATGCTTCATCACCTGAAAAGCTTATCTCTACTTGCTTCCACTACTCTCCATTAAAAATGGGTCATCATAGGGCCAAGGTAAAGATAAGGCCAACAAACATACAAAACACACAATCAGCAAAGTTGAGTACATAAGCGTAATTAACACACTAACATATAATTTCCTATCAACACACAACTTACCTTGTTGCACCTGTGTTTCAAGCATACAGCATTCAATAAAAGTTCACACTAGACACTACATAACTTATTTAGTATTGACTACGCATCGGACGGGTTTCTCCCTCAACCTCCCCCAAATAAAGTTGAGGTTACTGACACGGGAGCTAACCGTGCCAGCATCAATAACCACTCGTAAGTGGCGGAATTCCTGCGCATAATAATAATAATAAAAGGAATGTACAGCGTCCTGTACTCCAGTAGAAGTTATGATTAAATATAAAGTCATCACATAACTCCCCCCATATGTTCATACTCAAGGTGTATACGTTCCAAGAGTTTTGGTGCGTAATCTCTTTCACTTTACGTTATTTACAAATTATTAAACTTGGTGATGACTCTCAAACTATAATTATTCAATCAACAATAATTATTCAATCAACAATAATTAGCCAATCAACCAAATATACCAATTTAATTCTTGAATAATTAGTGACCACATAATATTTAATGTTGAATCCTTTTAAATTCTACCTCAGTGTCAATGACACCTTAAACGCATAAAGCGCCACAAAACCTATCCCTCGGTGTTAAGAACACCTTAAATGCACTAAGGCACCAACATACAATTTATCCTCGTGTACATAGACACTTATATAGCTCTTCCCTCATGCTTATAGCATCAATAAAAATTATATGAACCATAATAAAATTCCTTTTCAATATTCCAAACCAAATTAAACATTTAGTTTAATTAAACATGTTCTCTTACATGCCATAAATAAATATGTGGTTTATAAATAATATTCCAAACTATTATTTTCCATTCAATAATCCATCACAAATAAATCACGCTTCATAATCCAATCACCAATTACATCCAAATCATAATTTCCAATCCAAACCTAGCATGATACTACTTGGAATCAATCAAACACATTTAGCATGCTACTACATCAATATTATTATGCTAAGTACGCGAACGTACCTTGTATACGATCTTAGAATCGCCATGACTAGTAAAAATCACTCACTTCGAAGTCTCCTACAATTTAAAACTAGATGAAGCCCGTGCGATGCACGGTTTGTTAGTATTTTCTTAAAAAATATTTTTCATATTTATGTGATTAAAATTGTTATTATACTAGATGAAAGCCCGTGCGATGCACGGATATTTTATTACAGTATTTTTTTATTATTTTTTTGAGTACTTAAATCTCATAAATAGGTAATATTCTTAAATTAAACCATTTAATATTTTGATTAAATTGCTTGTTAGAAAAAGATAAATTTAATTATATAGTTTTTATTATTTATATTATGAAAAGATAATATTCTTAATTATACCATATAATATTTTGATTAATTTTCTTGTTAGAAAAGAATAGTTTATATTAATTCATTGGTGTTTCTTTTTTTAAATTGCTACCCACCTATTGTAGGTGAATTATTATTCATTAGTGTTAATTATGTGAAAATTGTATTTAAATTAATAAATCGATGATAATATGGTATCTCATTCGTCAAAATATATCACCCATAAATCTTTTTAAAGAAATAAAAAGATCCGAGTAACTTGAAGGTTATATAACAAAGCTTGAGTTGGCAAATCAAAATAGTTAATCACCATATCATTTAATCCAATCAATATTAAAGATATGCATTTTCTATAGTCCAATTTGTTTTCTCCAGATCCACATTTCTCTCCATTTTTCCTAAAGCCTCTCTAAAGTAACTCACCTGAGCTGTTAGATCAAGGGCATGAGTAATCCCAGTCGTTAGATCATCTAAACCGGATTTATATATATAAAAATTATCCTATATGGTTTTTTTTTTCTAATTTATCATGTTTCATTTTGATAATTACACCATAAAAATCTATATAATCATACCTTTTTTTAAAAAAAATTATCATATTGTTTTTTTTTTTTTTTTTTTTTTGTGAAAGTTATCATATACAATTTTTTTAAAAAAAATTCAAATATGATTTTTTTTTTGTAAATTTTATAACTTAAATTTTATTTTAATATCTAAATATAATCATAATTCTAAAAAGAGGATAATTTTTAGTTTTTTAAATAATTTAAATCCTAATAAATCACTATTCGTTGTTTTTACGTTTGTGGCAAAATTCTCAAATCTAATTCGTCACTTTTGCTTAGGTGGCGAGTGTTTTTTTTTATTCTAAAATAAAATAGAAATCTAATTTTTAATTGGTCGAAAATATGCATTTTCTTATGTGGCGCTCCCAATGCTCTCCAAAAATGCCTACTTTATTTATATATATTAGATTAGTTTTAAAATATTAGATAAAATTCCTAATCTTAAAAGATAATATTTTTTATTTAATTAATTTAAACTTTAAAATCTCATTCGCCAATTTTGCTTACGTGGCATGCATTTGAATTATTTAATTGTAAAAGAAATTAATAATCTCTTATTTAATTGGCTATCACTTAAATTTATAATCCTACATGGCGCGCTTAGAAAATTAAATCTTACGTGGCTCCTAAAGACTCGGGGAAAAACTTTATATATATATATATATACATATATAGAAGAGTATTAAAATCCACTTAACACAAATTTCCAGCAATATATACTATTATAAAACCCCTCATAATTTTATTAAAACATGCTGAAATTATATTTAAAACATCATAATTTAGTCCCAATAAATGATTAATCAAAATCCCTTAAAGAAACTTGATTTTAAGTGCTCTACTAAAAATTCCAGCACTATATTTTAATTAAAACTTGCTGTAATTAAGCCTTAAAACACTTTAATCAAAGGTTTAAAGTATTATACATCATAACCCTTCAATAATTTACAAATCAAGAACCTAGGGTTTCAAAAATTGGGGCTTTTTAATTAAAAACATAATCTGAAAATTAATTAACATAATACTTATAATCAAACATCAAAATCAAATCCCAAAATTCATAATTAACAATTAGATTTAGGAATAAATTAGTTTTAAGTAATAAAGATTCAATTTTTTATATATATATAATTGTAAAAGGGGAAGAGGGTGCAGCGGCAGCCACCATGTCGGCTGCTAGCGCCGGCGGCTGACGCTGCTGGCGGCGGCCGCCGCCTGCTGCCGGTGACCGGCAGTGGTGGGGGAGAAAGAGAAGCCGAAAAAAGAAAGGGGAAGGGGAAAAAGGAGAAAGAAAAATAAGGAGAAATGAGAGAGAAGTTTACCTTGGGTAGGGCAAAGTTTGATTTGCCTCATATGTGGGATATTTATACCCCTTCTCTACAAACCCTTTTTTCCCTAACTCTCCTCATTTAATTTTCCTAATCCCATCCCTAATAAAACTTTACTAAATTAAAACTTTCCTTAAATTAAACCCCAACTTAATTAAATAAACTTTCCTTTTATAAATATTTCCAAACTTATTAAAAAATAAATAATTAAAATACTTTAAATAAAGTAATTCAATTTAATTAAATACTTCTTAAAATACTTATCTTGCTTAAAATACATATAAAAATACGAGGTATTACATAGGGTGACTCAAAGTTCAAGAAAATTATAGACTAGACTTTTAGACTGATAATATAAAATATAATTAGTAAGAGAGATAAATAAAAAATAAATAAATAAAAAAAAAAAGAAGAAG